ATATGACAAATATTAAGGAACTTCGTAAAGACTACATGTAAATACATTTATTTGTAAAATGATATTCTTGATCCTCTAAATTTACAAAATGATAAATATCAAAAAACGTAATAAAAATGACATAAATAAAAATCAAGAAAATAATATATTTATTTAAAAACTGATAAGATATTTTTAGGATCAAATAGATCAATCTGTTAACTGAAGGTATCTTTAACCCTTTGCAAAGGACTACAAAATCAAATTCCTGATTACTGCTTCTTTCTAAATAACATAATAATAACTAAACATTTGAAAAAAATATGCAAAACTTATTTATATTGAGTGTTTATAACAAATTAATATATATATATATTATATTTTAAATATTTTAAATATTTTATTTAATCATAATTAATTAATTTATATTTTACTTTATTAAATTTCATGATAATTAAAATTATATCTCTAGACTCTAACCGCTGAAGATAAGTTTTTTTCCATACCACTACCCTCTAGGCCTCTAATGGTACTAATTTTATATTAATGCTGACTCAGCCATGTCTTGTTAGAGTACAACATTTCTTAGCCTATATATATAAAAATGGAAAAAATGAATTAACATCCATGTGGGAAGTAGTTGGGCACTATTGGCATATTTTTGATAAAATTTATCCGTATCATGTGTTTATATAAATTTAATATATGTATATTGTGTTTGAATTAATAATTTATTTTATTTTTATGTTAATTAATAACATAATTTTATTTTATTAAATTATATAATAATAAAAAATAAATTAATTTAGTGTAAACATCTGATACTAATAAATTTTCCCCCCATATTTTTTTATTTCTCTCCGAGAGGCTTGGCATTATTAATTTAGTAAGTTCACTTGAGGATAGTTTTATTCACATATTTATAACATTCAATAAACTTCTATACATAAATTATTTACTTTCAAAAAAATAGTTTTTTCTTCGATTAGTTCTTATTATTTTTATATTTAGTTGAAACTAATTATCTTTTACCATTAATTATCTTTTACCATCAACCAAATTAAACGACCCCACAACTAAAGTACCGTAGAATTGGAATTATATGAATTTTGATAAATTTAATAGCTTTTTTATAGATTTTTTATTTAAAAAATAACTAAATATATATTAAATATATTATTTGTGAATTTTTAAAAAATTAATTAACAGTTATAAAAGAAATATAGAACCCCCAAATTTAATCTTGACTTCGCTATCTCGTCACATAGTTCTTGACTTTTTTCATGTTGGTTCAAAAATAATCAGGGTGTAACTATAAGAAGCTACAATATATCATATTGGCGGATAGATGAACAGAATTTCTACATCTTCAATCTAAAATTTTATGTTTGAGTTTTTAATATGAAAAAAAAAATTATTAGGAAATATTTTTTCCTTAAATGGACCTTTATGTGATGTGTATTTGAATTAGCCTCGAAGCATCAAAATCAATATTAAATATTGAGTGAAAAAAAAAGAAACTATTTAGTATACCAATCTTTTCTTCTGTCATTATTTACTCAAGAAGAAGCAAAGAAAGATACCAGGAAAGTATAATAAGTGTCATATAATAGTCCAATTCCATGATATTTTTTTTTCTTACTAGCATCTAACTTATATACGCGTATGTTAATTATGTTCGCTTTATTCGTAAATCAAATTAAATCTTTAAAAGAAATCAATACTTTTTTTTTTATAGACTGGCAAAGGTTTTTTTTTTTGCTTGAACTTCTTAGTAAATAAAAATATAAATTCTTGTTCTCATCATGTGTCTAACATCAAATCATTAAAACGTATCATGGTTTGATTTAATAAAGTAAAAATATATATTACTGTAGTTAATTATGATTAGTTGATCATAATTGTGTATGTTCAAATACATATCATGCATTCATTAATTTGTCATTAACATCTAATAGAATTAAGTTGTTATCGAAAATTAAAGAACTTTATTTTTCTAAATTAAACCCTGTGATCGAGAGATAGTTGATCATATCTTATTTGTGATAGAGAGATATATAATGTATGAATTCTCGAGAATAGTCACGTCAGTAATTTCCCCGATTGCCCGATAAATTTATCAAACAAATTAAAGAAGTCGCAATTATAATAACATCAACCCAAACTTGACCTCCCAATTATCGCGTGGAAACTTAAAAAAATAAACTTGGCATTATAAATTTTATCGAATTAGATTGTGATGTAGTGTTGAAATTGTTTCAACCTAAACTATACCTCCTAATTATCAGGTGGAAAATTAAAAAAAAAATCAAACTTGGCCTTCTAATTTTTATCACCATGGGTTGGATGCAGTTTTGAAATTGTTTCACGCTTATACAGATGTCTCAAGTTCAAGTCCTATGTATGTAAAATATCTTGTTGGAAGCGTCATCCTCAAAATGAGTCCTACAATGCACATCTCGGAGTAGCTCCCCTGAACTGCCGATATATTTATCAAACAAATTAAAGAAGTTGCAAATATAATAACATCAAACCAAACTTGACCTCCTAATTATCGGGTGGGAAATAAAAAAAAAATCAAACTTGACCTTCTAATTTTCAATATGGATTGTGATGCAGAGCTGAAACTGATTTCTCTCTTAATCATAGGTCTCAAGTTCAAGTTTTGGGTATGAAAAAAAACTTGTTTGGAGCATCATTCTCAAAATGAGTCTTGTAATTGCCCCTTTCCAAAATTTAATTGGAGCTCCAATGCTTTAAAAAATAAAAAATTGGCCTCCTAATTTTTAATTATTTTTTGCAGGAAAAAAGGTAACTAAGTGGAGATGATTTATAGTTTGGACAAAACCATACAATTATTGTATTCTAGTAATAATTTATATGTCCCTCCCTAATAGATTCATGGAATCAACTTTTTTTAAAAAGGAGAGGTAGCTATTGGCATTGCAAAGTCAATGGAAGCATATGGTTTCAATTGATAACTAAGGTAGGCCTATTTAAATGTCATAATGAATAGTAACAAGAAAGTAGTGATAAAGAATAGAAAATAATTAAATGAAGAAGACAACACCAAATGACAAATTCACCAAACATACTCATTATCATTATGGTGTATGCCAATTTTGTTGAACAACTTTTGCTATGGTGGGATAAAAAGAGCATAGGGCATCTATGATTGAACTAAAGTTTCATCACGCATGCTTCATAAAATTCTCTTGTTGTTTAATTTTGATTTGTTGGTTGAGTCAAACTCACATGTGAGCGATCTGTAAATCAATTAGCTTTATATATAATCTTTTACATATTTGTTTTACAGCTTTAAACTTTTCTCTCACAGTGATATTAATTTATAATTTTAGGATTGAAGATAGAAGATACTTACCATCCAAATAAATTAGTAACCTTTTTTATATGAGATTTAAAATTAGCATACAAATGATCAATCTAAGGTTTATTCAGAATTGTAAATGGACAAAGGAAACGTACCATTTCCTCTTTGATATTATTGAAAACCAAAATGGAAATTACTCATATAAATAGCCAAATGATTAACTTGCACTAATATTTTGATATTTGAGAGAAAATATATTTTTAATTTACCAAATTATTTTTAACACGCTCGAAGTTCATGTAGCTCAGTATTAAATGAATGTAATAAAATTGAATAAATTTTCATTATTATGTTTTACTGTCACGTGTCTAATTGATGAAATTCTCATATGAGCCTAATTTTTTATTTTTTTTTTAACAATCTAACACTTTAATTATTTAAATAATGAGTGATAACAAGATTCAACAAAGTCAATATTTCTTAATTCTTACCCGTTCTGATGTTATACATTGAATTGTATATCAATCTATTTAAAACGTTAAACTATATATATTCAAAATAATATATATATATATATATAATTTATGTACTTAATTATTCTTGAAAATTATAATGTCACCCATTTGCCCCAAGAATAATTGAGACTATTTTGTCTCTTGTTAGCATATAAAATGTTTTTTTAAAATGAAGTGGTGCCCCAAGTGGACCTCACATTTTCCCAATCAAATAATGTAGCACGTCGGTAGAACGTTTTGACTTATGCCTTCTTTTTTTAAAAATTTTTTATTTAGAAGTGAGTTTAAAGAAATTATAGTATCAGAAGTTCATTATGTTAGCAGGCTGACCTTGCTAAATTTAAATATAATATATAAAAAAAGAAATTATTTTTTTAAATGTCTAAATTATGTGTAGTAAAATATTTTACATCCAGTTTCCAAAACGGGTTTGAGACAAATCAGTATGAAAAATATGGGTAATTTTAGGGTGTATTTGGTACAAAAAGAAAATATTTTTTTATTTTTTTATGAGAAAAAATTGAAAAAAAATATTCTTTTTTTAAGAAAAAAATTCTTAAAACGAAGGACAATGACTCCCTCCCTCCCCAATACCTACCCTTTTATACATAAATTTTTTAAAGATAATTAATAGTATTATTTTATTTATTTATCAAATGTCATAAATTAAAATAAATTTAAAAATCAACTTATTTTTTGAAAAATATTCTCCTTTCATGCCAAATGTACTCTTGGATCATGGTGTGTAAACCTTTATTATTGAAGGAATAAAAAGAGTAGCTTCAAATTATATTTTTCTCCTTTTCATTTAACATAAATTAAGATAAATATGTTTATTACGTACCGTGTTCATGTATGTTGATCTTCTAGTCGTCGTAATCATTCAACAATTTATTAAGAAGAAATCACACACTATATACAAAATAATAGAACAATATATATTTCTAGTTAATACAAAAAAAATAAATTAAATCAACTCTCCTTTTTAAATTTGTCAATTATTATTAGAATATCGTTTTCACCATTACTACTTTGCCACCGATATTCTTGTCTTACGAGCAACACTTGACGTGACTTTTTTTTCTCTCTAAACATATCAACTATTTATTATCGATCTAAATTTTTTTATTCAAATATGTAATTATTTATTCGTAAAATCAGTTTCATCACTGTCTGCCACCCTAGCTAAATTAAATATTATTCTACGAGTGTGTATAAATATATAGCTGTACATGGTCCTCCTCCGTTTTAAAAGCAAAAATAAAACCATTTCATTAATTTGACGAGAAATTAAAATGGCGAAAATTGCTGTTGGAAGTAGCCGTGAGGCTATTCAGCCTGATTGCATCCAAGCCCTCATTGTTGAATTTATTTGCACTTTTCTCTTTGTTTTTGCTGGTGTTGGATCTGCCATGGCTGCAAGTAAGTTACGTTTGCACCCATCAATTATGCCTCTTTTGCTTTTTATGGTTCGGTTCTTCTCTGAATCCCGCGCATATATAGCGTGCACTTAATGCATAAGATTGTCGTCTTTTTGTTCGTTTTTGAGTTGTCTTGATATAGAGTGTTGTTTGATCAATAGTATATACACTTAAATTAATTCTTTAATTTTTATCTATATATGTGTCTTTTAATTTTAGAATAATTAATGTTAAGGGCAAAGTTGAAAAAAGATAATTAATTCTCTATTGATTAATACACGACAATTGACTAATTTTTCATTACAATTTGTTTGACCTATTTTCTTTGTAAGTCTGTTTAAAATAAGAATGAATTTCTCCAAACCTTTCAACAAAACCACAAAATTAAAGTGTATTTGATATATTAAAAAGTTTTTTACTCTCTTAAATTGTATCAAAATCAAATAAATTGAGAGGGTATAACTTGTGTACATTTGGCTATATAATTAAAAGGGATGCATAATCAAATTAGAGTATTTTTGAATGAAAACAGATAAGCTAAATGGAGATCCTCTTTCGCTTTTTATGGTCTGGTTATTTTCTGAATCCCGCACATATATAGCGGACACTTAATGTATAAGACTGTCTTTTTATTTATTTTTTAGTTGTCTTGATAAAGAGAGTTGTTTGATCAATAGTATATACACTTATATTAATTCTTATAATTAATGTTAAGGGCAAAGTTGAAAAAAGATAATTAATTCTCTCTTGATTATTATTATACATGACAATTCACTAATTTTTTGCATTTTAATTTGTTTGACTTATTTTCTTTTGAAGTCTGTTTAAAACACGGATGAATTTCTCGAAACCTTTCAACTTTCCACTTACATATTTAAAATCACAAAATTAAAGAGTGTTCGAACATATTTTTGATTGAAAACAGATAAGCTAAATGGAGATCCACTAGTGAGTTTATTTTTTGTGGCAATGGCACATGCATTGGTGGTGGCTGTGACAATCTCTGCTGGTTTTCGTATTTCTGGTGGGCACCTTAACCCTGCTGTCACACTTGGCCTTTGTATGGGTGGTCATATCACTGTCTTTAGATCAATCCTTTACTGGATTGACCAATTACTTGCTTCTGTTGCTGCTTGTGCTTTGCTCAATTACCTCACCGATGGAATGGTAAGTACTCATTTCACACCGTTTTAATCAACGATGAAATTTAAGATCTAATGACACAGTTAATGATAAAAGTTTTGAAATTCTTTGTTAATATGTACATTTTTTTTTTAGATAACACCAGTTCACACCTTAGCAAATGGAATGAGCTATGGGCAGGGGTTAATTATGGAGGTGATTTTGACCTTTTCTTTGTTGTTCACTGTGTATACAACACTTGTGGACCCCAAGAAAGGAATTCTTGAAGGAATGGGCCCACTTCTAACTGGGCTTGTTGTTGGGGCCAATATTATGGCTGGTGGGCCTTTTTCAGGAGCTTCAATGAACCCAGCAAGGTCATTTGGGCCAGCTTTTGTAAGTGGAATCTGGACTGACCATTGGGTCTACTGGATTGGGCCTTTCATTGGTGGTGGGCTTGCTGGTTTTATTTGTGAAAACTTTTTCATTGTTAGGTCTCATGTTCCTCTTCCAAATGAAGAGACTTTCTAGGGTTTTGTAACAAAAGGCTCTTTATCTATTCTTGTAGTTTTGGAAGTCTACCTTATCTATGCATGTATTTTTTATGTTATCCTTTTTGTAACTTTATATTTTAATAATACTTTCGCTAGACTTGCTACGATTATTTCATTACGAAACTAAAGTACTAAACTACCCCGTTTGGTCATGTGATATTGGTATCATGATATGAAATCAGAAGATGAAATTGAAGTTTTGTCTGGACATGAGATGTGGATTTTTTCTGTTGTATATTTTCTCATAAACATAAAAATCTCATGAGTTGTAAAATTATTAAAATAACCCCAATTGTTTATTCAATCTTATCAAATTAAAAAATTATAAAATCGTATAATAAATTATTACAAATATATTTGTTCTCCATTTAAGTAATTGTTTCATTTAGCTTTAATTTAATAAAAAAAAATTGAACATAAATTGTAGTGTACTAGTTTTTAATATAATCCTCTTACATAGTACGGACAATTTCCTCAAGTTAAATTTGCATCCGATCATATGACTGAGAAGACGAACCAAGTAACATAATTTGAGCCATTTGTTGGTCAATACCATTCGCAACTATATTTTCATGTTTATAGACCATAAATATGTCATCACTTTAACAATCGGTTGGTGTGAGTTAAAATGACTATATGTTGATGAGAATAATAAATTTTAAAAAGTAATGATGTGATTAAAATTTTTATTTACATATGTAATAAATGGCCAGTAAATAAAAATGTGGGGTTGTTTTAATAAAATACAAACTTGTGGATCAATTTTGGTATTAAAATAACTCAAACCATGATATGAAATCACCATGTAATTCTATATCATGCTTTTTGGAGAATATGGAATCATGAGATAAAATCAGCATGAAATTGCATATCGAGACGTTGATTCTATCTCACGATACCATATCGTGATATGATATCGCATGATCAAACGCTAAGATGTAAAATATAGTGCTACATTTTGTTATGGTGAAGAGAGAGAAGCAAAAGGACATGTAACATATCCTATTTAAAGTACTCCACATCCATATTTGTCTTTGAGCGTATGAATGATCTAAATTCACCCTTTAAATAATCACATAACAAATAAAAAAAAATTGAGCTAATCTAATAGTAATGAGTAAAAGGTGAGATTTTTTTTAAGGGAAAGTAAATTTGTTCTGAATCATATAGTATATTTAGGAGCAAATTTGAACATTTCATATTGTTTAATTATCTATGCTCTGTGATCCTTTATGGATTTTAGATTTTAAAGAAAATGATAGAGGGCGATGAGGGAAATAATATTTGGGCTATAGCATGTAATTCATGTGCTATATGGGTCTAGGCGTTAGTCAAATCTCATACAGATTTTTAAGTTCATGTACTAAAGCTAGTAATTGTTTATTATACATTAGTTTGGAAAGAGGACTCTAAACCTAAAATTAATAATGTAATTTAAAAGAAAATGGTGAAATTGATCAATTTTTTTCGTTTTTTCTTCATAAACACAAAATCCAGTTAATGACTCATAATTTAGTGAGAATCCTAGCTAACAACGCTTAGGTGGACGAATTTATCCACATAGCTTGCCAATTGTCACATCATTAAAAATAAGGATTGTTAACTCTTAAGAATATTTGTGATCTCTTGATAACAATGGAACATTTTTTATCTCAAAACTACGACGGGGTATATTTCACATAATTTAGAAGCAATTTTGATCTGTTTTGTATAATTGTTGTTGTATCTACTCGGAAAGAAAGCAAGCGGAAGTCAATCCCAAATAAAGCATTTGCAACTCTACCAACATGAATTGTGTTGTAATAGTGAGATTGCTTCACTCTGAATCAGAAATCTCAAGTTCAAGCTCTGAATATGAAATTTTTTTATTGGAAGCACAACCGTCGAATAAGCATTTGTAATGTGTAATTCAAATTAAGTTAGGATTTCTATGCAGGCTATGGACACCAAATTTTAAAAAAAAGACAAATTACAGAAATACACATATTTTGTTTCACTTATTTCTATTATCTCCTATTACTTTTAAAAATCTCCAAAATTCCTTATTTTTTTAATATATTCGAGTCAATATTTAATGCATTCGAGCTAACTTTTAATGTATCTAAGTTTTAATTATTATATATATTTTTTAATTTTTAATAAATTAATATAATCAAAAACTTATTGTAAATAAATTATAATTTTATATTAAAACTATAAGATTGATGTAATTTTTTTAAAAAAAAAACATTTGAAAGTTAGAAACTCCAATAAATAAACGATTGATATTCTACAGTAGTGAGTATTTGTTATGAAGTCCTCAAGGCTCAACATTATGTCAACCGGACAAAATCATAAAGATCCACTTTAAATTACTACAATAAATACTTCGGACAGATATTAATTGCTAAATAATTATATACTATGTATACATAATTCAAAACTACCTACATTATAAATTTTCACTTCATTTGTTACTGACATATTGTCACGACCCAAATCCGGGCCATGACTGGCACCCACACTTACCCCCCTATGTGAGCGAACCAACCAATCTAAACCTTAACATTTCAATATAATATCAACAGAAAGTAATGCGGAAGACTTAAACTCATTAATAAAATCAATAACTATTATTATCCCCAAAATCTGGAAGTCATCACCACAAGAACATCTATGATCGAATTACTAAACTAAGAGTATTCTAAAAGCTAAAACAAGTAAAAGCTAGTCCATGCCGGAACTTCAAGGCATCAAGACATGAAGAGGAAGATCCAGTCCAAGCTAGAAGCATTAGCTCACCCTGATATCCGGAGTAATGAAGACTGGCTAGAGTTACTGTTGAGTCGAAGATGACGGCACGTTTGCTGCACTCCACAAATAAACAAGAAGAAAACATAAACGTAGGAGTCAGTACAAAACACGGGTACTGAGTAGATATCATCGGCCAACTCAAAATAGAAAACAATATATACCAAGTAATATCATAAAATCAACTATGATACTCAACATGTAGCAACAGCAAGTACTATATCATTAACAATTACCGTCAAGTTCACACATGAGGACTCAAGCCTCAATACCATACTCATTTGGGAATTATGTTCATTCGATTGAGTATATTAACATCTTTCAAGATTCATTATCTTTATTTCTCTTGTGTTGGTACGTGACACTCCGCTCCCTCATATTCGTTAATCCTCTTGTGTTGGTACGTGACACTCTGATCCCCTAAATCTACGTGTCGGTTTGTGACACCCGATCCCCTAAATCTACGTGTCGGTTCGTGACACCCGATCCCCTAAATCTACGTGTCGGTTTGTGACACCCGATTCCCTAAATCTACGTGTCGGTTCATGACACCCGATCCCCTAAATTTACGTGTCGATTCGTGACACCCGATCCCCTAAATCTACATGTCGGTTCGTGACACCCGATCCCCTAAATCTACGTGTCGGTTCGTGACACCCGATCCCCTAAATCTACGTTTCGGTTCGTGACACCCGATCCCCTAAATCTACATTTCGGTTCGTGACACCCGATCCCCTAATCTCATTCTATCAACTCATCAAGCCTTCTCCCTTACCAAGGCATCATCAATCTCATTACTTTAGTTCATCAAGCCTTCTCCCTTACCAAGGCATCATTATTAAAAAGAGATTAGATTTTTATCAAGATTTGGGATTCAATAACTTCATCATGCTTAATATAATCACAATTATATAATCACGTTCATGCATGCATACAATTAAGCACATAGCAGGGTTTACAATACTATCAATACATATCATTCTCCATTAAGAGTTTACTATGAAAGCATGAAAACCATAACCTACCTCACCGAAGACTAGTGATCAAGCAAGCAAATTCCCAAAGTTTTGTTCTTCTTTCTTCCTCGTTCGATTCTCCCTCTCTCTCTTGTTCTTTCTATTTTCTTTATTCAAACCCTCTTTCTTTTACCCTAAATGGTATATAATTAAGAATAAAAGATGACAATAATAACCCACTAATTAACTTAAGGTTACCTCTTTTAACCCCCAAGTAATTAGACTTATTAACATTAACCCTCTAACTTTATAATTAAAGTAGGAATAGTCCAAAACGTCCCTTAAAACGTGTAAAAAAATCCGACCCAGACTGGGATTTCGCAGTCTGTGACGGCCCGTCGCACGACGGGCCGTCCTGCTGCCCGTCACAGAGTTCAGAGACTCAATTTCTCTGAAGAGTCTGTGACGGTCCGTCACACCTGTGACGGTTCGTCCTGCCATTCCGTCACGAAGTTCAGAGAGTCGATTTTCAGTACCCAATTTCAGATTTTCTAAGTGTTTTAAAATGAGACCCTGCGACGGTCCGTCGTGGGGTCCGTCGCTTCAGCCTGTTTTCCAGAAATAAAATCTGCTGCTCAAAACGACTAAACAGGTCGTTACAATAGATACCAATTTACCCATCGTTCGTCCCCGAACGATCACAAGAAGGAAAATAAGGGTGAAAAGGAGTACCTGAATCTGTAAACAGATATGGGTATCTTTCTCGCATATCTGCCTCCTTCTCCCAAGTGGCTTCTTCAACGGTCGATTCTTCCATTGAACTTTGATGGATGCAATCTCCCTTGATCTCAACTTGCGAATTACTCTATCTAGAATGGCAACAAGCTCCTCCTCATAAGTCAAATTTTCATCAAGCAAGACTGAATCCCAACGAATAATATAGTTTCCATCCCCATGGTATCTTTTCAACATCGACACATGAAATACCGGATGTACTCCGGACAGCCCTGGAGGCAAGGCTAACTCATAAGCCACCTCCCCTACTCGCTTAAGTACTTCAAAGGGACCAATGTACCTTGGGCTTAGCTTGCCTCTTTTACCAAACCGCATCACCCCTTTCATTGGCGAAACTTTCAACAAGACTTGTTCACCCTCCATGAACTCTAAGTCTCTAACCTTCCGATCTGCATACTCTTTTTGCCTACTTTGCGCCGCTAGAAGCTTTTCTTGAATAGATTTCACTTTCTCTATCGAATCCCGCAA